TTATGGGGTTTTATGGGGTCTTATGGGGTTTTATGGGGTCCTATGGCGTCTTTATGGGGTTCTATGGGGTTCTATGGGGTCTTATGGGGTCTTTATGGGGTCTTGTGGGATCATATGGGTCTTGTGGGATCGTATGGGGTCCTATGGGGTCTTATGGGCTCTTATGGGGTCCTGTGTGGTCTTTATGGGTTCTTGTGGGCTTTTTATGGGGTCCTATGGGGTCCTATGTGGTTTTATGGGGTCTTGTGGGGTCCCATGGGGTCCTATGGTCTCCTTATGGGATCACGGGGTTTTCTAGGGTCCTATGGGGTCCTATGGGGTCCTTATGGGATTACGGGGTTTTCTAGGCTCCTATGGGGTCCTATGGGGTTTTGTGGGGTTTTATGGGGTTCTATGAGATCTTATGGGGTGTTACGGGGTTCTATGGGGTCTTATAGGGCCCTATGTGCTCTTGTGGGGTCCTATGAAGTCCTATGGGGTCCTATGGGGTCCTTATGGGATCACGGGGTTTTCTAGGCTCCTATGGGGTCCAATGGGGTCTTATGGGGTCCTTATGAGCTCTTATGGGGTTTTTATGGGATCACGGGGTTTTCTAGGGTCCTATGGGGTCTTATGGGCTCTTATGGGGTCTTGTGGGGTCCTATGGGGTTTTATGGGGTCTTACAAGGTTTTATGGGCTCCTATGGGGTTCTTCAGGTCTTATAGGGTCTTATGGGGTTTTATGCGGTCTTATGGGGTCCTTATGAGCTCTTATGGGGTCCTTATGGGATCACGGGGTTTTCTAGGCTCCTATGGGGTCCTATGGACTCTTATGGGGTCTTATGGGTTCCTATGGGTTCCTTATGGGATCATGGTGTTTTCTAGTCTCCTATGGGGTCCTATGGGGTCCTGTGGGGTCCTATGGGGTCTTATGGGGTCCCATAAGATCCTTACGGGATCATGGGGTTTTATAGGGTCCTATGGGGTCCTGTGAGGTCTTATCGGTTCTTATGGGGCCCTATGGGCTCCTTATGGGATCACGGGGTTTTCTAGTGTCCTACGAGGTCTTATGGGGTCTTGTGGGGTCTTATGGGGTTCTATGAGGTCTTATGCGGTCTTATGGGGTCCTATGGGGTCCTTATGGGATCACGGGGTTTTCTAGGGCCCTATGGGGTCCTATGGGGTCCTTATGGGATGACGGGGTTTTCTAGGCTCCTATGGGGTCTTATGGGGTTCTACGGGGTCCTATGGGGTCTTATGGGGCCTTATGGGGTCCTACGGGTCCTATGGGATCTTGTGGGGTCCTATGGGATCTTATGGGGTCCTGTGGGGTCTTATGGGCTCCTATAGGGTCCTTATGGGATCGCGGGGTTTTATAGGGTCCTATGAGGTCTTATGGGTTCTTATGGGGTCCTGTGGGCTCCTTATGGGATCACGGGGTTTTCTAGTGTCGTATGGGGCCTTATAGGGTCCTGTGGGGTCCTATGGGGTCTTGTGGGGTCCTATGGGGTCCTATGGGGTCCTATGAGGTCTTATGGGGTCTTGTGGGGTCTTATGGGGTTCTATGAGGTCTTATGGAGTCTTATGGGGTCTTACGGGTGCTATGGGGTCCTATGGGGTCTTATGGGGTTCTATGAGCTGTTACGGGGTCTTATGGGTCCTATGGGGTCCTGTGGGGTCCTATGGGGTCCTATGGGGTCTTTCACCTCCCCCTTCCCCCCCAAATAACCCCATAACCCCGTATCCATACCCATAAATATCCAGCACCCCGATGAAGCGTTGCCTTTCCTTCGTTCCCCTCAAAGCCCCGTTGAGGATTTCCAGGACCCAAAAGAAGAGACGGGCGTAAAGGAATTTGGCCAAAGCGTCTCGAGCTGCCAGGACCTGCGTGGCCGCCATGTTTTTCTCGTAGCTTTCCGTCGCCGCGTGGATGAGGCGGTGGCAAAGCCAATGGGCAACCAAGGGGGGTTGGAGGGTCAGGAGGGTGCAGAAGTGGGTCAGGTGGGGGTCGTCGGCCTGGTTGGGGGTTTAATTAGTGATTGGGGTTAATTAGGGGTTAAGGAAGTGGGGGGTGATGGGGGGAGGAAGGGGAGGAGAAGAGAAAGTGAAAGCGAAACTGAAAGAGAATAAGAAGAGGAAGAAGGAGGGGATGGGGATGGGGAAGGAAAAGAGAAAGTGAAAGTAAAAGGAAGGAGGAAGGAAAAGAGAAAGTGAAAGTGAAAGTAAAAGGGAACAGTTAGGAGAAGGAGAAGAGAAAGTGAAAGTAAAAGGGAACAGGAAGAGGAAGGGGAAGAGAAAGTGAAAGAGTGGGGGTTGTCGGCCTGGTTGGTTTTTGAGTGGGGGGGGGGTTTAATTAGGGATTGGGGTTAATTAGGGGTTAAGGAAGTGGGGGGTGATGGGGGGAGGAAGGGGAGGAGAAGAGGAAGTGAAAGCGAAACTGAAAGAGAATAAGAAGAGGAAGAAGGAGGGGATGGGGAAGGAAAAGAGAAAGTGAAAGTAAAAGGGAGGAGGAAAAAAAGAGAAAGTGAAAGTGAAAGTAAAAGGGAACAGGAAGGAGAAGAGAAAGTGAAAGTAAAAGGGAACAAGAAGGGGAAGTGGAAGAGAAAGTGAAAGGGTGGGGGTTGTTGGCCTGGTTGGTGTTTAGGGGGGGGTTAATTAGTGATTGGGGTTAATTAGGGATTAAGGAAGTGGGGGGTGATGGGGGAAGGAAGGGAAGGAGAAGAGGAAGTGGAAGTGAAACTGAAAGGGAACAGGAAGAGGAAAGGGAAGCAAAAGGAGAAGAGAAAGTGAAAGTAAAAGGGAAGAGGAAGGAAAAGAGAAAGCGAAAGTGAAAGCAAAAGGGAACAGGAAGGGGAAGGAAAAGAGAAAGTGAAAGTAAAAGGGAAAAGAAACAGGAAGAGAAAGTGAAAGTAAAAGGGAAGAGGAAGAAGAGAAAGTGAAATTGAAAGGGAACAGGAAGAGGAAGGCGAAGGGGAAGGAGAAGAGAAAGTGAAAGTAAAAGGGAACAGGAAGGGGAAGGGGAAGAGAAAGTG